CAGCAGGCTCCCATCCCACTGAGGCAGCCGAGGAAACAAAGTTCACACAAAAGTATGCTCTGGAAGCACAGGAGTCCGTAAATTGGAAAACATTCTCCTGGAAGAACTAGAGAGGGTAGATCTGCCACTTGGAAAGGATCCATGCGATGGTTCAAAGGTCAAAAACCAATAAACTTGAAAAACAAGATTTTTCCTGCTTGCCTGCTATTTAAAATAGGCTTTTGTATACATACATATTAAATATTTGTCCAGGATTTGATGCTGTGACTTCCCAGTTTATTGATTGTTCTTACTGTCCTTAACTTCTTTTTGCATGATACATGGCATATACTTTGCCTGTCATCACTCCTTTTTCATGTTATTCCAGCAGCCAATTTTAATTTAACCCCATGCTAGTGGGCAGTGGTGAGAGAAATTTCAGGGTGAGAGCCCAGAGTATTCATTCTGCCTTGTGGAAATACCAATACTGGATTTCTTGACATCTTTCATTAAAACAAAAGGAAAAGTAAGATTGAAGCACAAAGCAGGCCAGCGTGTCCTGCAGTTGGGATCTGAGATTGCAAGATTTTGATTGAACCCTTGTTTCTGCTCATTTGCTTCTTGGATTGCTGATCTTCAAAATGGTATAGCATGACCTAGGAGCTTTTTCAGACCTGTACCCTGACTTAGCGCATCATATAGCCTACCTGTCATTTTCTTAGCATTGCTCTCTTGACTTTACCTGCTGCAAATGGGGAAAAAAAGGGTCTTCCTGCAGTTTGGTGATCCGGTGTTTAGCAAATCCTTGATGTATCATCCTAGTTTATGCCTGTAATACCTGACATTCTTTGTTAATTATTTATTCAAGCACTCATTAGCACCTGGTATCAGACTCTGTCAGGTGTAATCGCCAAGGGATGCCCAGGCAAACAGAGTTACTGAATTAAAAAATACTATTTCGTTCTTAATTATTGTAACTAGTGGTATTAACCCGAGTTACTCCAGATACACATCTCCGGAGCATCCCTTCTATCTACATTTGGGGAACTGCCCACACCTACTGCTGACAGTGCACAGAGGTATTCCAGTCAAATGGTCACAAGCCAAGGACTAGTCGCTTTACTTCAGTGCTTATTTCTTGAAGGCAATGTGTATTATTAAATACAATTTCCTCCTTCATTTTCCTTCTATAAAACTTCCAACATCATAATTTTCCTCTCACGGACTCGGCTAAAAATACGGAGTAACTCGTCTGAACTGAGATCAGGTTCGCCTTTGCCGCGAGTGGCAGGAAAGAGAGGAGAAGCCAGGCGAAGAGGGGCTGCACAGGCAGGGTGGATACTCTGGCACGGTGCGAGGGTACGTATGTGCTGTGCTCTCGGGCTCCGGTTTCCTCTCCCTGCCAGCTTGCACTGGAACTGTGCTGCTGTAGTAAGGGAATGAGGATCTCCTCTGAGCCTGCCTTTATAACTCACAGGGAACTGTAGCAAATACATGCCTGCAGTTTTTCAATAAAATCTGGCAGATTATATTCGTCCCCTCTTAAATAAAATGACAAGTAAATTTAGACTGTGCAGAAGCTGGAATTAGGAAAGACCTGAAAATCAGAAAAATACTTGTAAAGTGCTTGAGCCACCCTAACATTTGCCTAAATTAGGATGCCGTGCCTCCCCATACCGAGCTATTTTAAACCAAACCTCCTGGATGTGCTAAAAGCGCTTTACCTTCCCTAGAGTTGAAGCAGAATGCATCAGAATTATTTCTAGCTAATCCATTTGAAAACTATCAAAGAAGTTAGCTTTCTTTGAACAATAAGTACTATACAACTTCTTGTGGTTTCAGTTCAAGTTTCACTACCTTTGAGACTGCTGATCAGAAACACAGTCATGTCAGCTGAACATCACATCAAGGCCAATATGATAAAAATAAACACCGGCAGTATAGAAAGGGCAGAGAGGTGAACAAGTTGTCCTTGCTTGCTTTATTCTCATAATTTCTTTCTCCAGAGCACTCGAGAGTTTGCATTTAAAAGTAAAAAGAGCAGGTATGAGCAAATGTATATGTGTGCATGCACATACGTGCTGAGAAAAATGAGTTATTCTGAATTAGAGTTTGGCTTTTGTCAGAAACAATGACCAGAACACATGCAGTAGAAAAAAAAAAAAGTAGGTTAGAAGAAGGGGAGATTATTTCTATATAGGAATGAAGAGTGTGACATAACTGATTTTTTAAGTGGTCCACACAACAGACGAAGGCAGGAACTGGCTTAGTATCAGTGGCTTCCACAGGTCTGCCTGCAGCAACGCAGAGCACCTTGTGAGGCTGCTGTACAGGAGGCTTTCATTCGCCGTATTAGTAAGAGGATTGTGGCATCCAACTGGATTCAGAATGAAGTGATATACATAATGTTTTCATATGAAACGTTTTCCGGCGTGAATTCAGGTCCGGAGACAGCTGGTTTTGCAGAGCTGCTGGTGTACGTATGAATGATCACAACGTTCTGAATCCGTATTTGAAGCCCCCTGCTCAGCATTACCAGGCTTGCATGAGTTTATGGAGAAGGGAAGATGCCTCTGAGACATTATGATTTCTCCAAATTTCCCACAACTGTTACACAAGACATTGCTAATCAGAGCATTTACTGAGTGTTCTAGACCGAGCACAGGCATACTGAGCTGATTCTCAGCACCCAAGTGTAACATACATGTGTAAATAGCACTACTCACACAGTTCGTAGGTGGAGAAATAAGAGAGATGTAAGGGATTCTTTTGCTCACAACTCTCTGTTCATATCTCTCCTTCCCTCCCTCCGGGAGTAACAGATGACCTTACCGTTTCTTCTTCTGCTGACGCTTCTTCCGCCCCTCTGCTTCCAAGATGCCAGCCACACTGATCTTTCGCAGACTAAAAACCTTATATTTACTGCCTTTAAGATCTCAGGAAGGCTACGTATCTAAAACTTTGCCTTCCTTTTTTTTTCCCCAGCTGTATTAGTTGGTTATTTAAAGCTCTTTACAGATCTTCCCAAGCTTTTCCTGCAAGTTTGAAACACTTTATTCAGAATATATTGGAAAAAACCCACTGCTGCCCTTGCTACTGGGTTGAAATAATGGCAAAAGAGGCAAGGACATTAGAAATAAGAAAGCACTGCAAAAGGTTTCCGAACGTGTTGTTCTTGATATAAGATTATGCAGTAAATAACTTCAAATTATTTGAATTTTGTCTACCCTAATTTGTAATTTACTTCTTTGTTTGTTTGTTTGTTTGAAAAGAGAACTATTTAGCACCTCCTAAGTGTGTTTGGTATCATATGTAACGGCCTGCAGTGACTGCATTGCTGGAGTGGATTGCATCCAGAGGCTGGAAAGCTTTCATAGGCTGGAAAGCAAAGGTTGGCCAGCTGGGATGCTTGGCTTGTGGATGGAAGTTGCCTAAGAGGCATATGGCTTGTTAATGATATTAAGCTATTGTCTGAATCCCGGACACGCTAGAATACACAGGCCAGTGGGTAGGACAAGTCTAGGCCAAGCGACAGGTTGGACACCTATCTGTGAGCCTCTATGTACTCTCTCTACAGCCTGTGGTCCAAAATGTGTCATGATGCAACCTGCTGGGGACAAATAGGTGACTGATCAAAATTGCCTGGGTTTAGTTATCTGAGCTTTGTCTGTGTTACAAACAGATGCCTCCCTTGACAGCTGCTATTAAGGACAGCATCAAACAAGCAGTAAAAATTATGAGGTTGTTGAAGGACCTAATCAAAGGACTAATGTTTCAGCATAGGTAGGGAACAATTTTGAGGTGTAATACAGCCCAGATTTTAAATAGTCTGTAACTTCTGATTTCAGTACTTCTGCAAGTGTCTGAAACAGACACAATAATTCTTCAAGCTGGAACCTAAACCCAGGCAACTATGTATGTAATATAAGGGAATTTGCATTAAAACTAAATTAAAGATTATGAAAGGAATGGAAACCAGACAAATAAGCAAAGCAGCATATTTTAGATATTTTATCTTTTGAACATACAACATGATATAGTGTACCAGTGACTGAAAGGAAGTTAATCTACTATGAAGACCTAAATCAGATGCACTGAGATAACAGGAATATCCTATTTTAGTTTGAGCTAATAAAAACACAAATAAATAATACAGAAGCTAACAGAGAATGTGCAATAAAATTATACTTAAATTAGAAATATTTTTCCAAATATTTATGTGTCATCTTGGTAACTGGATGTCTTGGTGGTTTAGAGGAGCATCTAGCTGGAACACTTAGGTAATCCACAGAAGTAACTCACAAGACCTTCAAGGGGGCATCTGCTCTCAGTGTATACTGAAGGGTGTTTACTGAGTTCACTGCAAGTGGGCAGATGTCTGACTTGGCACGTTCTTGCCTGAATCTGATATGCCATAAATCACATCCTGGTGATCAACCATCACATCATGGTGGAAAACCCATGGAGCCTTCTAGACCTGGTATTCCTGACTATTAGCTATCCAGTGGCTAGGGAACAGCCAGCTGAGGAACAGCTATGTGGCTGACAAAGCAATTGATAGTATGTGCTAAAATACCATATGCAAGTATGCAAGCCAGAATCTCACTGTACGATAGTTTCAGTTAAGTTTGGCCCAAGTACGGGATCACTTATAAAAATTATTTTAATATTTCCACTTTTTCACTCCTTATATCTTGTACCAAGTAAGCAACCTAAGCTCTCTCTCATCTGAATTCATATTTCCCCTTCCCAAGACAAAATATTCAGACACTTAGATTCCAAGGCCAAATGCTAGGACTGTTTTTACGAACAAGATGTGTGGGAGATGTATGACAGGCATAGTTTCACTTTTCTTTCTGAAATATGTGAACGGGAACTTTAATTCTGGAGAATAAGGATGAGGAAATAGCCATGGATTTCTTCTATTCAAGGAAAGGAAATGGAGGGTGAGGCTTTCTAGAGGCAGTAGAATAATTTTTAATATTGAACATAGTTGGGTCTGCAGGGTTTTGATACACAGTTTTGCCAGTCCCAGAAGTAGGGTGAAATTGCAGTTAGAAGTTAGTTAAAGCCAAATTTATAGCCAGCTAAGGCAAACAGAGGATATGGATTCAGTTGATTAACTTAGTACACTAAAGCAAATCTGAACAAAAAGCCTGCGAAAGAAACAAACATGAGCTTGTTCCAGCTGCCTCCTCTGTCTGAAGACACAGGTCCTCTTTGTGCTGCTGGTGCAGATCTGAAGAAAAGAAAACAAACAGGATGTTCACAGCACAGAGCTGAGTTAGGATTCTTTTAAATATCAAGGGATTGTGCCAAGGATGAAGTTTGCAGTCCAAGTGCTAAGTTAGAAGTTTCTTTGTAAGAGCTCACCACCAGATTCCTTTGGGCTGTCATTATTTTACAAACGGGGTATCTGTGCAAAGCCCTAGGAACACGCCTTTCTACCTCAACACCTGAGCCTCCTTGTCTCTCCACATCCATTTACTGTCTCTGGCCTCATGCTTGAGATTTTACAGGGCTCTTCTAGACAGAGAAGAGATCTAGAGATCTACATTTTTACAGCACTTCATACAACAGTACCCAAATCCACTGCTAAATCTCCCTGACATTGCATTAATGCAAGTTATAAATACCACTACGAAGAGGTTGCATCTGGCGCCTTTCTGCGTCTGTTTGTGAGCCAGTTCTGCCATCTAGTGGGTATTGTTTTACTTACAACTTCAAATGCCAGGGTGTCAACTTAACAAGCCAGTCTGCATTTTGACTCGGCAGGAACACAGTCTGGAGAGGAGTTAGGGGGCTCTGTCACTACCCAAGAAGCTCCAAGTACCTTACAGCACCTTCAAGCCATCCCTATGCTACTCTGACACAGCTCTCGCCTTTGCTTTGCTGATGTAACAGGAGCTGCCGTAACAAAAAAAAATCACTTGCACCACTCTGATGATTTTGGGTGTGGGACATGACTCTTCAGAGGCTGAGAAGCCAGCTAGCAGTCTTGTAACAGCAAACAGCCATGGAGAAGGGAGGTGATTTGGAGCCCACGTGCCTACTCTCACTATTCATTACAGAAGTATGGAAACGTAACGTGTGTACGCTGAGCACACGCTGCGCAAAGGAAGCTCTTCATAGCGATACCACTACTGACCAAACTCCTCCCATGCCAGTTAATGAACCATCAGAGAGCAGGGATCCATCCACAGAGAAAGCAGATCTAGAAGATAATCATCAAATAATTTATACACATCTGTTGAAGCTCTTTCTGAAAGGGCAGCTGATTTCAATGGAGATGCTATTTACTGCAGAGAAGTAAGTGATTTGGGGAAGAGTGGAAGTATTCATTAGCTTCAAGTATTTCAGCTACTTAAATTTCAGGGGGAGGAAATGGTAGCATTGAGATTGGGAAGCTCTGTCTTGATTAGGGTTAGCATAGATATGCAGTGAATCACGGCTATTACATTGTGATGCATGCAGGAGGGAATAAAGGGCTCAGGAAGGCAAGAAGCAAGGAAACTTCTCCTAAGGAGGATGAGCACAGCTGAGTTACTTAGTAGTTACCCCAGGTGAGTATGAGACTGGTGCTGAGAATATGTATGTGATTTTTGTTAAGTACCAGCATGGATGGAGAGGGAGGGGTGGTGGCTCCCCTGCTTACATACTGCAAGTGCTATGTGGTATTACTGGCGAACTGGTATGCTTATCCCTTAGGTGAAAGAAAAAGACATTAATGGTTTCCAAAAGCCTTTTCATCCACATTTCCTCAGCTGAGGAATGTACCCACATCACAAAACTTTGAGGGAAATGGTTTAAGGCCTGAGACAAGAGAAGAGAAAAACCTTCTGTTAAGGGTTCACAATAAATAAAAAATTAGTTTTCATCCACCATGCCATTTGTCTGTAATAACAAAAAAATGCCTTAACAGGCCTGGAAGCCTGTTCTGTGATCTACTGCCTTGAATGAGTTTGGAGGTATGAGTGATATCTAAAATGTCACTGTTTAAATCAAACATTTAGAGGTTGGCGCTGGGATATAATTTGGATGTAAGAATAAATGTTGCATGACAAGATGAGTAAAAGCTTTCAGTGACCAGCAGGAACAGCGAATACTCACTTTCTCAGTAACGGTTTATTATAAACTGAACATATGCTACAGAAAGTGATACACACCTCCTTTTCTCCACTGCATGAAGCATTACTGCCACACAACCAGAGGCAAGCAAGTAGGAGTTGCACCTCTCTGCTGCCATAACCAGGGACAACAAATCAGGTTTTTCACAGCAGAAGTTATCACTGCAGTATTACATAGGTATTAATATACAAAAGATTTGCAGACGCTTAAACTGGGGCAGCAAGGGCAGTACGAGATAGGATGTGGTCAAATGTATGGATTATGCATTAAAATAATATAACTAGAGAACAACAACTATGCATCTATGTATCCTGCAATTTTCCAAACTGTGAGGAAGTTTTCATAATCGTATATTTAAGTACCTTATATGTACCTACACATGCAACAGCATATAGATTAAGAAACTTAGCCACAATTGAAAACAGTCATCTTTAGTGTAAATTCACTGAAATATATCATAAATCAGTTTAATCTTCTATATAATATAGAGAAATATGGATAGGAAGGGGAACTATTAAAACCTAGTTTGAGAGTGATGCTTGCTAATTAAGAAAAGTTGTAACTTGGGTGTGATCTGCGTTCTCTGCAGATAACCTACCAGCCCAAGGTAAATACATGAAAATATAGAAATTGGATTTGAACACAAAATGGAAGATTAAAGAAAAACTTCCTCAAAATTTGGAACTGAAAGGTCAGGTAGCTGGAGAAAGGTCCTTTAGATCTGTTAACATTTGACCTACAATTTCATTACTCAAGGAAGAATATTAAGGAAAGCAATTTCAAGTTTGTAATAGATTTTGCATCAGAACACTGATATTTACAAACTTCTTGCATACCATCAGTGACATGCAGTGTGATTCCATGATTGATGAGAGCTGATTAAAGCCTCATTTTGAATAGCAGGTGCTCACAGACAATTGTGCACAATTTGTGGACAGAAACTGCTTACTCAATACCCAGTAAGTAATAAATTCAAGAGTATTGTATATTGCATATGGGTGATATATAATAGATGATAGAGGTGGAATCTGTCAAATTGTTGCCTTCTGCATTATTTATTTGGTTGTAATGACACTGAGGATGGATTGAACTTCTTTTACTTACGATGAAAGGGTACACTTAGAATCATCAGGATAATCCAGGCAGAGTAAGAACACTACAGACCTGTGAAGATATCATTGTATTTAGCATTTTTCAAGCAGAAAACTGAGGAAAACAAAAGAAAAAATGAAACAAACTCAACAGTGTTATCATGTCTAAAGCTTTCCTTCAGTTGTATTTATCTTACAATCTACTGTGAATTCTGAACTAGTGATTCTGCAGACATTCATTAGTGTTTTTAACTGTTGTTGAGATTTTCAATCCAAATATTTTACAGTGAATTGGGATATAAGGCCATCTTCTGTGTCTGACACTGGGTAAGTGGAATGTTCCACATAATTATAAGATTATACAATATGGTGTACAGTTTTGCTCAGTTCATGGCTGAAAAATGCTACGCCTGAAAAATGAGACATCACCCCTCCAACATCTCAGTCTCTTACTGAAGACATAACATTAACGGCTCTTTAATGGCTCTTAAGTATCGAGAGGTAAGAAACCATTTAAAATAGATGAGGTGCTTCTGTAAATACACCAGATTAATGATTTCACTTACTTGTAATTGTCAGTGCAGGTGACATCATAACCAAGGGTTTTCAGCCTGTTTTCTAATACCTTTACGGTATGAGTTCCACAGGAATCTCTGTGAGAAAGGATTTTAATGTTATTACAAGTCTTTTATTATCTAATTTCTTTTGGTGAACTTGATGGAATTAGCAAAGTAAATCCCTACCACTTTGCCTCTTCTATATTCCTTAACACCTACAGAAAACTGGTGAACATTGCTATTTATAATGTTTCCTTTGCTTACAGTTGTTTAACATTTTATACTCTGTTTGCACAGACTGGAAGATTGCTCCAGCCAGCGTAGCATTGGCAGATTCTATTAACCAATATTCCCACCTTTAATATTTCACTAGACAAACAGAAAAGGAGCTAAAGAGTTTTGTAAAATAGTGAGTGTTTCATTTTTAATATTCTTTGGCAGCTATTTAGGTGGTGCTAAAATTGATGCTAGCTGTCTTTACACAGTAAGTGGATTATAATAAAATAGAATTGTTCTTGTTCGAAGCTTGCCCTCTCTCTTGAATACAGAACGATAGAAAAACACAAGGAAAGAAAAAAAAAAACACCAACCCAAAACCAATCCTAAATGCAGCTTCTGTGTCTAGCACTGATTTTTTTAATTTGTGGTCTGATTTGCAAAAGAAAGTTCATCAAAGTACAGAACCTACTGAGACCTCTAAAACTTGCACCACTGTCAAGTATTAAGGCCAGTGCTAGTTGCCCATTGGTCAGTAAATACTCAACTCTAAAGAATCATACAGGGACCAACAAAATCATTGTAAAAACCAATAAATAAAAATACACAAAAATGCCCATGCATCCATTAACTGAAAGATAAATTAACATTCAGGGCTTGACTTAATTTTTCTTTGTAATAAGGGCAACTTTAGCAAAGGTAAGCTGTATGTTTTTGGGTTTTTTGGGGGGGGGTTGGGGTTTTTTTTCCCAAAAGGGTATGAGTCTTTGGTTTAAAGAGAGAGGCTGAGAAACCCTAATCTACACTATGCTTTGTAGACTCCACAGCACTATGGTAAAACATGTGGTCTGGGTTGGTCATGCCACAGCTGAATGGAAGAGAAGCAGAAGGAGGTAGGAAATAGAAGAGATGAGATGTGAAAGCGAAATGACACAAAATGAACTAAAAAGCGTTGAGTAGCAACAGCAGGAGCCTCACGTTCCTAAGAATGCAGATGACACCAGGGATTCAGCCACCAGTGGGGGATATGGTAACATCTGGGCCCGTTTCTCTGTCCCTCTTCAGCCAGGGCAGTTTTAAGACCAATGAAGTGCCACCATGTTATAATAAAGTGCAAGGACCCCACAGATGGTTGGGGTAAAACTGACCTCCTCTGTTCATCTATCCCCTATTCATCTGTGTCCATTTGCAGGGACCCCCACAAAAGTTATAATGATTATATTATTTAAATCTTTAATTCCTTTAATCAGTCCCAAACCAGGCATAATTTCTGGCCTAGTGATTTCATTTTTTTTAACTTCAGATTCCATTTTCCATTATGTTTTTGTTGAAAATTTTCACTTGGTGTTTGGCTGTGTACCAACAGGCTATCCTGTTTGGACTGGTCTGTTCTGTTTTGTTTGTTGGTTTAAATTATCAGCAAAGCTAGAGCTTTTTAAAGCTTACATTTTATTATTGGATTGATTTTAAGTGTTGAGAGAAAACGAGCCCTTTGGTTGTATTTCTCTGCTTCTACTAATTTTCAAACAGTTAAGATAGGTGAAAATGAAAAGAATGTATATAGCAAGGAGAATGAAATATTTCTTGTCAGCATTTAATCTGAAATTCAGACTGACACATAAAACTGTACGTGCTATATCTTCACTCAAGGTCTGAGATACACACACACACACACACACACACACACACATCTAACCAAGAGTGGATTCCAGACATAATATTAGAATTTATTTCTATTTTGTCTAACTCTGGTATTTCTATACTCTTTGGGAATGGCAGGGTGTGCTTTCAGTGTTAGTAAAAGAGTCTAAAATATTTTTAGTTTAACTGCTATGCAAATACAATCAAAGAGAATTCCAAGGTGAAATTTTAAAGACAGGTCCAAAAAGGAGAAATTAAGTTTTTTGGAAGACGTTAACTTACGTATCTGGTCCTTCAATATCATCCACAACCCAGATGACAATTTGTGAAATTTTGTCTTTCTGGAGATTAGGTATTTCATAATCTGCAAAAAAACTGATTCAAGAAACAAATTTTTAGAACTCTAAAGAACATGAAAAATAAGTAATCCTTTTTTCCCCTTTGCATTAATGAAGGCTCTGATCATGCTGTAGGGTATGGGCTTGCTGATTTTACATTTATATCTTCTGATTACAATCAGACTCAACACAGAGTAGAAAAAAATCTGATTCACATTCTGAATGTCCTCAAACGTCAAAGGCATTTAATCAGAAGTTATGTTTTGATATTCTTCATCTTAGAGGGGCTCAGCTGAAAAAAAAAATTACAACTTAGAGGTGAACTAGAATGAAGTGAACTTTAAAAAATGCAAAAACTAAACAAAAATCATTCAATAGTAAAAAAACCCAAAAAAGGTCATTCTCGTATTTATTGATTTTAGACAAAATACAATTGTGCTTTAAATAAAAAAATAACAACAGCGACAAGACAAATATATTTTTAGGTAAAAAATCACAGCAACAGGAACATGAAATATTTGACTAGGATCTATAAGCCCATAAAGGAGAAACTTTTAGACATGTCCATCCCTAGCCTAGGGAATCTTCCACTTTATTGCTTTGAGTAAATTGACTTTGATGGGTATTTAAATAAGAAATAAAACAAGATAATAAAATGGCAACTAAATCATAGAATCATAGAACGGTTTGGGTTGGAACGGACCTTAAGGATCATTACTGCCCTGCCATGGGCAGGGACACCTTCCACTAGACCAGGTTGCTCAAAGCCTCATCCAGCCTGGCCTTGAACACTTCCAGGGATGGGGCATCCACAGCTTCTCTGGGCAACCTTTTCCAGTGCTTCACCCCGCCCTCCGTGAAGAATTTTTTCTTTATATCTAATCTAATCTGTGCATGGAAGCACAAGGCATGTGGTGGTGGTCAGTGTCTGTTGGCAGTCAGCTGAGACCTGTTCATGAAGTTAATGTAAACTTCTGGAGAAAAGGAACATGAGGATGACACCAACAGTTGCCCTGTCTGGTCAAGTCTGGTACAGCAGTGGCTAACCAGAGACCAGTAGTAGCAACAGCAAGGTTTGCCTGCCTGTCCAAGGTGTCCAAGACTGTCCTAAAGGCATAGTGAAAATATGAACAAAAATAGATTCCAGTTATTTTTATCTGATTTGCTCATTCATGCATGTGTGACTGCCAGCAAAAACTTCCTCTAAAATATAAAGGAAGCACTAACTAAAGGAATCAGAAACTGTGGAGGAACAAGGTACAATTGACTTCAGTAAACCAGTTTTTGAATGGACTAATATTATTAAAGAAGTCTGCCAACTACATTCCTATTGTGTGAATGAGGAAAGTTATTTTGCAGTGAAGAGAAATAAATCTTAACTGAAATAGTAGCAGGTGACAATGATGATTTAAGTGTACAAACTTGAACGCAGGATAAACTTTGGAAGTTGCTTTGAAATTCTTGGAAACAGGCCAAAGAGACGTTTAGGAATACAGATGGATCTTTCAGATTACATTCTGCTATTAACTATTTAACTCTAGGCCACTTTCAAACAAGATCTCTTAAGCAAATCAGTCATAAATAGACCAGAAACAAAGAAATGCAGCAAAGAAAACAGGTGAAGTGACTGGCTTTGTGGTTTTTTCTTGGCAGGCTATCTTTAATGGTGGAGATTTCGCTGGTCATGTTACCTCCAAAGAGGCAACTCAGGAAACTAGTGGAATTAATTTATGTGTAAGAAGTTTCTGAAATAAGGAATCTGTAAATTAACAGAAATAAGGAATCTGTTTCTGAAATAAAGAATCCATACTGGGTTCTGAGCATTGGCCAGCTCTCAGGTATTGTCATCTGCAGAAGGCTCAATCTCAGCTGACCACCTGACTAACCCAAGGAGACCATATAAGTCTTCTTGATTAGCTGAAAGCTGTCTTCAGAGATGCACTTTTTTGGAGGATGGAGGTAAGTAGGTAGGTGTTTTGGCACAGAAGGTTCTGGCTTCTCTCCTATCTGGGGATAAAATCAATATTTTCACTGACAATTTTTAGTCCTCAGTGAGCACACAGGAGGAGGATCTTTTCTACAGACTTATAAAAGATGTTTTTTTGATCTGCCATGGACAAGACAGTTGCTGAGGTAAGGAAAGATGTATTTTTCATCAAAGGTAGGCTGTCACTAAGCCACATATTCAGTAGAAGTTCTTAAGGGTGTACTTTTACAATGAATTTTAAAGCTTAGATGAGCCTCTGCATAGTAGTACACTTTAAGTCAGGGAAAACACACCTGTCCTTAATATACAAGGGAACAAGGAGAATAGGAAGCTAATCCTTGCTATTAACCTTCTCGATGAGCTTTTTTGCTTTCTTAAGCCACAATGGATCTCAAACTGCCTCCTCTCTTGGTCACGGAGAAATAGCAGGACAAAGCACCTTCCCTATAGAACTTAGCAAGTTTGTTCCTAGGCCTGACAGAGGCTACAGTTCTTGTAAGAACGTCCTCTCCTTGGAGATGCCCCTGAATAGAAATTTTGTAATGCTCATCTTTTTGAAGACATACACATTTTGCCACAGTACGTTGGCTGACTTGAAGGTGGCTTTCAAAGAACATTTATCCTGCTTGCCACAGCAGTTTGTAAAATGCAGGAGTCAAAAGGACTGTTTCCATCCATTTCATGTTAATTCCTAGCTGTGGACAATTAACAGTTGTCCCCACAATCCAGCAGGCTTTGCTGTAACAGGCTCTTACAGCTACAATTCTCATACTTTATGCAACAGAAGACCCAAACAACTGGTTGACCATTTATATTTTTGCAGGCATCAGACCTTGTACACATAAATAAGTCAGTTTTCTTACCCTGGATCTGGATAAGCTCCTCCGACTGAAGAACCATTCAACAAGACATGTATCACCCCAGAACTGTGCTGTGCATACTGCAATACATAACAATTTCTGTTCAGAACTCATCTTACAGATTTGTCATATGACTTGGTATTGTATTGCAAGCAACAATGACCAAGGAAAGAATTTTACCAAGAAGAGTATCAGAATTGTGAAAATAATATCAAACTAGCTCCTAGCAGGTCACTGCAGTCGAGAGGACAAGAATCCTATGCATCTTCTCAAACTGTCTTCTCAAACCTATAGTTTTCTTCATCATAGGAAGAAAGCATTTTGGCACTCTGTGTTGGGTTTGATCCGTGCATAAAGGCTGTAAGATCTTGCTTAGGACCTGTATTCAGTAGACAGTTAGTGTGCTTATTCTGCTTAGTATATGCTTAATATACATTACCAAAGCTAACAGAGAATTTTAACACATTATCTAGAATCACAGCATGGTTTGGGTTGGAAGGGACCTTAAAGACCACCTAGTTCCAACCCCCCTGCCATGGGCAGGGACACCTTCCACTAGACCAGGTTGCTCAAAGCCGCATCCAGCCTGGCCTTGAACACTTCCAGGGATGGGGCATCCACAGCTTCTCTGGGCAACTTGTTCCTGTGCTTCATCACCCTCTCTGGGAAGAATTTCTTCCTGATATCTAATCTAAACCTCCCCTCTTTCAATTTAAACCCGTTACCCCTTGTCCTGTCACTACAGGCCCTTGTAAAAAGTCCCCCCCAGCTTCCTTGTAGCCCCTTCCGGTACTGGAAGGTGCTATAAGGTCTCCCCAGAGCCTCCTCTTCTCCAGGCTGAACAAGCCCAACTCTCTCAGCCTGTCCCCATAGCAGAGGTGCTCCAGCCCTCTGCGCATCTTCGGGGCCTCCTCTGGACTTGCTCCCACCGGTCTATATCCTTCTGATGTTGAGGGTTCCACAGCTGGACGCAGCTCTCCAGGTGGGGTCTCACAAGAGCAGAGTAGAGGGCGAGAATCCTGTCCCTCAACCTGCTGGCCACACTTCTCCAGATACAGCCCAGGATACGGTTGGGTTTCTGGGCTGCCAGCGCACACTGCCAGCTCGTGTCCAGCTTTTTGTCCACCAGCTGAGGTGGTCTATGTAGCTAAAATTAGGTTTTTCTTGCTAAAGCACTGTACCCAGTCTAAAAAAGTGTATGTGTATCAGAGGAAATAATCTAGAACAGTTCCAGACTTAAATCTGTTTAGATCCGGCGATGTTCTCCCGAACCACCCAGGACCCACTATTTAACGTATGAAATCAGCACTAATGCACTATTTACTGTGATCGAGGCCATCCTCCAGAAAGATTCCACCGCGTTGTTTTCACATTCCTCTGTGGTAGGGCAGGATTCATAGTCCAGTCCTGTAGGAAGGCACATGATTTGTGCTATTAGAGATATAATAATGACCGTAAAAAGTGACCTTAGGTGATTTGTGCTATTAGAGATATAATGACCGTAAAAAGTGACCTTAGAAAGCAATTAAACGTATTTGCGCATTACTCACTGAACATACAAGATGGTCTGATATAACACTGAAAGCTGACATTTGTGAGTTTTTTCTATCATTTTTCATCCTTTGCAGTTTACGCAAACAGTGACATTCTGTGGGTTCAGTAATTTAGCTGCAACGGCTCAAACTCTATAGCTGGGGGATGCAGACCACTCCATGTTCAGAGGACTGAGAAGGAGGTTTATCTCCTGTGCAGCACTCTTTAGACTTCCCTGTGTGCTGCCCTGGCTGCAGTGTTAAATATTCACGCGAAACAGGAGAGAATGAGACAGTGAAGCTATCCCTGATTTTTCCTGGGTTAAGACTAAAATTAGCTCCTCTAGAAAACAGCAGTCAGTCACTCTGCATTTATGGTTCCCCAGATGTTTAATATAGCACTCCTCGTCTTACCAGCGCTGTTTGCCTGCCCACACCAGTTTAGAAAATCTGCAAAGAAGCCAAACAGAGTATCACCCAGAGTCATGTAGCGACGGCCTCTGGCAGAAAAGCTATTGACTAGCAGCTGATTGTTTTCCCAGAAGAGTGACTATATTAAAAAAAAAATAGAGAAGAAATGAACACAATGAGATTACGGAGTGTTGAAAACAATTTAAAACATGTTTTGGTATTTCTTTCAAAATCAAGCTAATGACCAGAAACATTAGCTATCTCTTTAGAGGAACAATTTTAATTTTTTTTATGGTGTTGTAAACTCTGGTCACTAGAGGCTTGAGAGGCATTCCTACCATGATGGGAATGGATATACACCTATATTAAATACAGGTAAGCCTAGCTTTGCCTTCCTTGGCAGACAGATTTAAGAAAAGGGGAAAAAAAAAGGGAAGACAGATATTTATAAGCCAGACACATCTTCCCAGAATTCTCTCACACTGCTATGTTGGCTGATGGTGTGAAAAAATCATACATCTAGCTGTTATTTCTGTGTTTGCAAAACTCTTGAATTAAGCTATTTTGAAATGAGTATCTGTTGGTTTATCTTGTATCCTTCAGAGATAAGGAATAATTGTGCTAGAGGAAAAACTGCTTTAAAGCACCTTTTAGAGAAGGCCAAAGCACACATTTGGATGCGATATGATGGCATGAACAGCAGTCTTTTTTGCACTTTCACGGTTGTCTGCAATTGCCAACACATCAAGCCCTTTCTGTTTTCTAGCATATAACGGCATCCTATCTCATTTCTGCTTATTCTTATTTAACATGTCAGTGTTTAACATGTCACTGCCCTGAGACTTGGCTGTGAGGAGCAGAAGCAAAAGACAATAGCAGGCACAGTCTTCACAGGCAGAGCACCTAACTTGAGGAAAACTTGAGTGGAAGTGGAAGTTCAGGGACTAGTACAGAGCTCCCAGCACAGCAGGGCAAATGGAGGATCTTTGTAGTATGAAAATAGAGAAAATGCTGGGAATTACTGCCCAAAATAAATGCAGCCAAACACACTGAAAAATGCCATCAAGCCTGACCCTAGTTTGTAAACTGCAGACAGGCCAAAAATAACGAATCATGACTCAGCCACAGAATGACTCTTGGTCAATTTTGAACTGTGGAAAACTCTGCTGGATGTCACAGGACTGTTAACAGAACATTAGTAATTGTTACCTTGTTAGGCGGAATTGAGTGCAATGACAGGTTGATAAATAATTCATAGTCCTTAGGTAGAATGCTGCAAGGATCCTTGCTAATAAATGCATTTTTAAAAGCTTCCCATATCTCTGAACAATTCTTCTCACTGTAATCATTGAAACAAAAACATAGCAGCACAACTGTTTTTTCAAAGCAGAGCAAGAAAGTAATTTGTTCTCAACTTCTTAAATTTCCCAAATTAAAACTCCTAAAAGGTTAAGACAGAAAACTGAGGTCAGGGTGGTAGAAAACTTACAACCCAGGAAAAGCATATAGACTTTATCTTTTCCTGACTCCTAACAGGAGCAGATTAGCAATCAAAATATTAGGATTTACAATGTGGAATTAGAAATACATAGTATTTCAACAAAAGTGTTAGAAGGTACAGTATACACAGGGAGCTTGCTATCCAGAAAATGGATAGAAATGCTTGCTGAAATACTAAAAAAACCCAGCTTTCTTTGAAATTTTCCAGATTCAAAAAGCCATTTCAATTGCAGCGTAGCTAAATGTGCAAAGCCACTGGAATGTAAAATTACTCTTAAAATGTCAGATTCAAACGCAGAAGGAGTTACCAAAAAGTTTCCATGGCAGAATAATGGTTTTGACAAAAAGATGCCCTCTGTGTACGTGTGCCCTGGGCTTACGCAGCTTTACCTGCTGGGCCAAGGACAGGGACCGTCATGTAGTGTCACTGGGCCATAGCTACGAGAATACTGTTAGGATTCGATGTTTAAACTGCCTGTGAAGGGAGGCCTGAAGTAAGATGCTAGGCTGTGCACCTCAACAGTTCCCTTCTGCCAGCCTTGCCCTGGGGACAGTAATCTCCCGGGGAAGGACAGGACAGGCTATCTAGGGACGGAAGTGTCTTATCTCTCTGGATTTGCAGGATCTCATCTGTCACTGCTCTGAGCCTGCCTGGAGTAATTAAAAAGGGAATTGCTACTTTCACCGCTTTCCCACAGTACCTTCCCTACGTATGCTGTGACAATGTCTACGCCAGGAACACTCGGCAGAACAGAATGATGTATTTTGTGTGCATATAGCATTCCTAAGGCAAACAGCTGTAATTGCAAAGCTGCAGCTTGAACAACATCAGTCCTGTTGCGGAAAGCAAACTTTGCCATTAGAGTGTTTTGCTCATTTAATGTCATCCGTAGGCAGTGGGTTTTCTTCTGGCACTTCTCCTTGGGAGGTTCTTTAAGGAGCTGCTTTTCGATGCTGAATGTCACAGACACTTTAAAGTTAAAGGAGCCCTTGTGATGAGCTAGGCAGCCCCCATGCAGGAAACAGACCACAGATGCTCTCACAGTAATCTCTGGTCATGCTTCCAGCAACTATATGAAAAAAGAAATGTCAAACTCAAACCAATATATCATTAAGCAAATAGGAAACTTGATCTGAAAATCTTCAGTGATGCACTATGATCCTTGATCAATAGTTCCAATGTTTAAATAGCCTTACTTGATAAAAGGATTTGCACCCTATTTCTGATATCAAGCTGTTAAACTTTAGCTTCTGGCAACTGTATACCCTTATGTCTCATTCTGCTAAAGAGCTGTCTAGTGTAAGCACTCACGTATTCAGGCTAGCACTGGTAAGTTATGATCAACTGAACTCTTTACATCTTTCTTGACATTTGAATCCAGCAGCAATTTTCTCATTAATTCACATATTGCATTTTTTTTCTTCATGCCTTCTCATCCAGGTTTGAACAGCTTGTGAATGCAAAGGATTATTCTGCTCTGTTACTCAAAATTTCTTAGCTGGCAAAAATACTCTTTGAAACTACAGGGTGAGGAAGGACTATAGCTCAGGACAATTCCTTCCAATCTGAATAGACACTAATAAGTCATGTATAAGATTTATTTCATACTAGTTAGTTTAAAAAAAAAGGTTCCATTATGTACTACAAATAAAGAAGTATGGGGAAAATGCACTAAAGGAAAATTCGTGTTATGTAGCATACTCCTATTAGAAAATTTCAAATGTGATTTTCATTCCAATCCATCACTTCTACATGACCATAACATTTTGTAAAATGCCTCTTTTAACTGACATTTCGCATATTCTGTTTTAACGTAAGGTAAAGTTCTTTCTTATATTTCTAGAAACACCTTTATATTTTAACTGTGGTGCACTGTAAAGACATGATTTGCTAGCCTCTTTTCTGTCAGCAAAGTATTTTTTAAAAATGACTCTATTTGCACATAAATTCAGAAGGAAAACCTATCCAGGTGGCTTTGCCTCTGTAAAAGCTAGCCTGGGGGCAATTAAGAAACAAACAGTGAATGGAGGGTTATAAATAATTAGAATATCTGTTTTGCACCTGTGCAATATGAAATTTCTATTATGTTTAGATTACACTATTTGATTATAGACCTAAGGGGAAAAAAAAAAACCCAAACCAACCCACATAATATGAAATTAATTGCGCAGCTCTTCTTTCTACAGTGCCATTTTGAGCCTTAATTCAGCCCTAATGTCCAGCCTGGCTTTATGCTACTCCGAGCACAAATACTTGAGGAACGTGTTTAGACTTCTCAATTTTAAAATTATATTGTGAAAATGTCACAGGAATTAGACCAGAAGACTGTCATAAACATGAGACACATAGAAATACTTTCAAGAATATGGTATTTCCATTTCCAAAAGCCCAAATCAGATAATGAAAAAGTTAAGATTTCCACACTAACAATCTTTTATGTTGCTAATTTTACTGTGGTCTGTATTAGTCATGTCCTGCTTCAGGTATAAACGAAGTGACATCTGTTAACTCCAACAGGAACTCTATCTATGTAGAGCTTACTGCAAGGCCAGACTTGATATACCTACACAACTATTAACTGATGTAAGTTTTCATTGTTTACATCACATTATATCATAGTGTGTAGAAATCCATAGTTACAGTTTACTGGCACCTTCCACTGTGATGTGTTTGTAAATTTGCCAAACTTGAATTGTTCAGCTGAAATTTTAGTACTGTGTTAATGGCATTAGGATGATTTTTTTCTTTCATAGGGAACTTGAACCAATATACTTCCGATAAGAGTGTTATTAGGAAGAAACATGTTGTTTTGACTTTGTTAAAAGCCACAAAACTGTTTTCAGTCCTGTATCTTCCTGTTTTGCATCAGGAACTGAAAATGGGAGGTTGGGGGAAGAAGGTGATATTTGCTTGATATTAATGCAACATCATCTAACCCCATTTAAGACCACGATTCAGGAACCCAGCCAGAGCCCCTCTGCAAATACCTCCTCAAACGATCAGGAAAAATTTTACTGGCAAAATGAAGGACTGAACTCCAGGAGAGTGTCCTTCTTAGTTTTTTCCTTTTTAACAAAGCCCAAACAATGTAAAGAAGACAGAAAAAACTGGTCATTTTAGCAAAGTGTGTGACTGACTTACCTTCAGTTCTGTGTAATTAACACAGATAATGAGAGTTCGTGGGTAATCATACTTCAGCAGTTGATTACCACTAGATTTTTCAAGTGGATGAGCTAAACCCTCTCTTTCAGCACCGCAGGATAGCTACAAATTGTGGTGCTTTCCTCCTTACACGACCTGACACACAAAGCATGCACAGTAAAGCTCCTCTTCCCAGGAAGACTGTCAGACTGGGTGCTTCAGAAATACCATCCCCACCATTTCTGTGTGGTGTTCTCCTTACGGAACACTGTGGCATGAGAGGGTGAGAAGTGTGAAATAAAAAGTTGAAGGGTTAAAAATCTTGCCTTAATTACACTGCTTTTAGTAATATGACATCTGCCAATGCTAATGTTTTTTGTTTCCAGACAGCTACAAGCATGTTTGCTTCAAAAGGATCAGACTTATGATTAATAAGCATTTTGTACAGAACATAAAAAAGCAAAACTTACCCAACAGCAGGATTCACAGTTCTAATATAGTCATAGCACCTTCCAATGACAATACTTTCCAGGTTTTGCGTTGTACCTTCACCTTTCCATTTCCTTCCCTGCACTTCTGAGAAGCTATCCAGAAGCAGAACAGAGACAACTAAGAGAGACAAAAAAAGGGTCTTCATCATGAATTCTTGACAACCCAAGTTCTTAAAAAAAAAAAAAAAAAAAAGAGGAGAGTTAAATGATACAATTTAAATGGAAACCTGGAGGCTTAATGTTTAATATTTTCAACACTGACTATAGCTCTGTACACAAAAGACGAAGTAAGACGGAAATCTGAACCTTGCTGAGGACTGTAATCTAACTGTTTCCTGGAACGGTTGCAGCATAGGGATACATCACTTCCTCATGGCTAACTGTTCCCTACTTCAGAAAACAGAGACTTTTAAGGTTATGATATTGCCACCTGGTGATAACTAGGAAGAATTACAATATTTTTCAGTAAAGGGAGAAAAAACCCACTCACTTTTTTTTTTTGGTCGTTTTAAAAGGGCTATAGTTTTTGTGCATCTTTCTCTAATGGCTGAAAAAATTGCTGAAATACATATCAAGAACAAAAAAGTTGACATACATAGGTAAAGCAAGATTCGCATAAATACCCAAATTCTCAGATGATCTTGTGTCACACATAGGAATAACATTAGTCAGCTCTTTTCCACCTCTCCCCTGGATACTGACAGCAACATTTTTGTGCGATGGTATGTGTTTTAAAGTCATCCTTGTGAACAAAACCGCCTTGCAGGCAGGAATCAATCATGAAGAGAACCAAAAAGGATTAAGATGTACTTCTTGTGCACTGAACAAATCGCCTGAGCTTCTCTTTTCTTTTATTCTCCCTCCAGCTTCTTTTTCCAAAGTTCTTTGTTAGAGCATCAAACGGTGCCAATTAATCTAATCTTGAGTGTAAATATTCTGTAGTATACACTGCTGCAAATGCAACCATGCTACTTTTTTCCCTTTTTCATTTTTCAAAATATTTTCCACCTTAGAGCCATTTTTCTATGCAGTCACATTTCTGAGCATGCTGGTTCTTTGTTAAGCAGTCTCCATGCCTCGGTGAATATATACATCTTCATTATTTATGTACTTATTTATATAGTGTCATGCTTACATCGATGTACTCAGCTGATGGATTCTGCCGAAGGTAAAAAACTGAGTAAATTGCTGATGATGGATTTCTCCTGTAAACGTGACAGAGACAACCAGTTGGTTCGTTAGCTGCAGCAGGGTCTCCAGGAGAGCCACGTTTACCCAGAAATGGATGTGCGATGCTGTGCTTGATAGGGTGCGGACACAGTGTTACCCCTCTGATGCTCTTTCTCCCAATTCCTCTTCCCAACCTCTCTGAAACATGCCCATGCTGATAGGGCACCAGTGTCTTAATCGAACGGTTTCGTGTCACTGCTTTGGGTTCAGGATTAGAGTTGTGTTGGGTTTGGGTGGTGGGGTTTTGGTAGTGGGCGAGGGGCCACAGGGGTGACTCCTGTGAGAAGTTGCTAGAAGCCTCCCTGGCTGCAAGTCGGACCTGACTGGCCACGGCTGACCCCACTACCGCCTTTGTGATTAATGTATTAAAAGGAGAAAACAGAGAGAACCTGCAGAAGGAGTGGGATGTGAGAGAGACGGCAAGGCAGACACCAGAATTCAGTGCAGAAAGGCAGGAGGAGGTGGTCCAGAGCAGAGGTTCCCGGGCAGTCCCTCGTGAGAGGGCAGGCTGCGCCCCTGCAGCCAGGGAGCAGAGACCTGCCTGCAGCCTGGGGAGACCCCACGCCAAAGCAGGCAGCTGTGCCCAAAGCAGCCTGTGACCTCATGGGAAGCCCACGCTGGAGCAGGCTGCTCCTGAAGGTCTGCATTCCATGGGACGGACCCACGCCAGAGCAGTTTGGGAAGAACTGCAGCCCGTGGTAAGGACTTACATTGGAGAAGTTGGTGGAGGACTCTCTCCTGTGGGAAGGACCCCACGCTGAAGCAGGAGCAGAGTGTGAGGAGTCCTCTCCTGAGGAGGAAACAGGCAACGTGTGATGGACTGACCACAACCCCCATTCCCCATCCCTCTGCACTGTTCAGGGGGGAGTAGGTAGAGAAATGGGGAGTGAAGCTGAGCCTGGGAAGAAATGAAGGATGGGGAAATGTTAAGATCTGGTTTTATCCCTCACTATCCTACTCTGACTTTTTGGTAACCAAATTGATTTCCCCCCTCCCCCAAGTCATGTCTGGTTTGCCTGTGACCATAACTGGTAAGTGATCCCTCCCTGTCCTTGTCTAAATCCATGAGCCTTTCCTTAGATTTTATCCTCCCCATCCCACTGAGGGAGAGGGAGGAGTGAGCAAGTGGCTGCATGGTGCTTGGTTGCTGTTTGGGCCTAAACCACAAGAAGAGTGCAGTAATCCATGGAAGTCTATGATTTTTTTTTTTTTTTATTATTATTATCAACTTTACTGCAATTAAAATTTGTTCAGTAATTTCAGGGTTCACAGAAATCAGAGGCATCACTGATGTGAGCTTCTATATAGAACAAGGCAGAAATTGTCACAGACTTTTGTATCAACACTAAAACTTCTGCCTAAAATGTACAGTATAAGTTAAAAAGATATAAAGATGGATACTGAGTTTTGTAATAGCTTTTCTCCAAGGACACATCAGGCTAGGACTCATCAACTTCAGGAAAAAGATGTGGGTGCTGCTCAGTGGCGCTATCCAAAAAAGAGATGACCTGTCATAACAACCCAGAGGGAATGGAAAAGAGTCCAACAACTGCTGGGATCCCCATCTCATCCCTTATCGAGCTCCCTTTCTTCACTGGCCACTTCTAGAAACACATGGGGCCAGAGGGGCCTCTGATCTGACTCAGCATGGCCATTTTTGATTTATGTTCTTTATTTTGATTTAAATACTTCATGTGATGGCTCAACTAACACACCTCCAGGGAAATTGTTCCAGCGGTTTTACAGCCTTGAGAGTCAAACCTTAGCTCTGGCCTGAACTTGTCTACCTTTCGCTTCCAGTCACTGGATCTCATAATGTCCTTTTCTGTTACACTAATGACGAATCCACCTTCAGAAATCTTCTTTCTGCATAAATTCTTGCACAAAATTACCAAGTCTCCCCTTAAACTTGTCCATGAAAAATTCAATATTTTAATCCCGTTATCAGGCACTTGTGGTATCGTACTTCACTGCCACGAACTGGCTGTCCATCTTGTCTCCCAAGCTCCGGCAATTCGTGCTGGGTACAGATCACTGTCCCTCGCTCCCTGCCCCTCTCTCCCAGAAGAGGTTATTGCCCATGAAGCAGACTTAGCAAAACTGGCAGCATATCTGCTCTGGAGATATTCTAGGGGACAAACTGAATACTAACTCAAAGGACCATGAAATTCAGCGTATGTTTGTATTCTGAAGCCCTGGAAGATGAGAAACCAACATGTTCTCTCTTGTTATTTCTACTACATGGGAGTGGTAACTTCCAGCAGAGGGAAGGTGTAACAGGTGGGAATGTTAATCCTCTTTTATTACTCAGGCATGAATTGCTGGCAGAATAACCCCAATTCTGTACGACTTCATGTTCTAGGCCTGGAGAACCTTGGAACTGCTCATATTAACAACCCCCTCTGTACGCAACGAACTTCACCAAATACTGTTTTTTGAGGGTTTGTGTCTTCGGGGCTTAGTCCTGCCTGCAGCCGTAACGCAAGGCCCCGCCTGCTCCCTTGTACGCTCCCACAGACTCTCCGCAAGAAATGCACAAGCCCAAAGCTGTGCTTATTAGCCAAGCGGTAAATGCAACCATGTGCTGGCTGGCCAGCTGCACGCCACCCTGTGCTTTCCCTTGCTTCTCTGACGTCCAACAGCTTCCCCCCGCAACCATTTACGAATTTAACCTTCCAAGATTAGTACCTGTTTGCGTATATGATTAAACAGGTCAGCATGTTCAAAAGCCCTTGGAGGTGGAAAGGGTGAATGAAAAAGGAGACGCCCTGCAGTTGCTTCAGCCTCATTTCCTTAAAGAGATAAAAAGATTATTGTGCACGCTGTGATTTAGATAACCCTCCTAACGTCATCTCTCCTGCTCAGTTCATGATCTACTACTTTTACCAGCAGTAATTTCCCATTTTATTCCCAAGCATTAGTATGTTGAGGAACACTGGGCTAAAAACGTAAGCGTGCCTTTGCTGGAAGTACTTTAGTCTGTTTATGGCACCTATATGCTAGATAGCTTTTGATCTATTTACTGTCTGCAACAGAGATTTTGTACAGTAATGGTCGGTCAGAAGGGTCTGCTGTTTAACAAGGCATTTTTGGGACATTTACTACAGATTGCCATACTGACGGGCAGTTTTACTACACGTGGCCACGCCGGCTGAGAGTTACACTGGGGCATAATCTCGGTTCTAAGCGTTCCTGCTGTTTCTGAAATGCTGCATGAGTAGGCGAGCATCGACGGCTGCTCTTCCTGCTCCCCCTGTCTCGGACGTTAACCAAAGGCAGCCCCAAAACCTGCTCATTTGGCGCGAACGCTGCCGAGAGCCGGGCGCGGCTTCCCCGCCGAAGCCCAGTTCGGGACTCGGCTGTCTTCCCTCACGAACACCCGTTCATCCGCAGA